AGAGCGGCTGCTTCGGAGGTCGGCATGATAGTGATGCGGCACAGGTGAACGAATGGGATGGTCACACGTGTGTGATTGCACAGATGCGGTCTTGAACCCAAAACGGATGACACCGGGCTGGACCCCTGTCGATGGGACCGACTGAGATCCACGTTGCGGGCATTCAGCCTTCCAATGGCCTTTTCGGCCACAAATCCTGCAGCTGCTCTCCATGATCCTCTGCTGGAGGTTCTTTCTATTGCCAGAAAACTTTTGAGGAGTAGGGGGATCGCTTTCCTTTTTCACCCCCTTTCCCTTTTCCTTTGCCTTTGTTCTGACTTGTTGGCCAGAACCCACGGCTTTTGAAGCGCTCTGACAGGCGGCGACGGGCATCCATGTATGATGATTGTGTCAATGCTAGATCTTCGTTGTCTTGCACTGCATCCAACATTGTGGATTCATACTCCATGATCATGGCGGCGTCCTCGTCACCATCATTTGCAAGACTCTCAATCCATTCTTCCTCGGTCCAATCATCGAGATTGTAGGTGGGCTCGTCGGGTGCTTGGTCGTGACCATCAGCTTCTTGGGCAATGAACGCATTGGCCTCATAGGTTTTGGTCCTTGGATTGTTCTGCTTTCCGCTGGAGTGGACCTCATGGAAGAATCGACTCCCCAGGAGCTTCAGATTGGATACCACCTCTCTGTACTCCAGTGAACCCTGCGATTCAACAATCAGTCTCTTCTTGTCTTCTGAGCTCAGGGCTGAGTTGCGAAGCAAGATGTATGCACGAAACTCATCCATGCCGACCTTCATGCTCAGCAACTCTTCGAATTGATGATCGTGCCGAGCTAGATAGCTCTCATGGGTCTCGTCGGCTCTTTGGACTGTGCTGTAGATTGCACGCTCACAAACCTTTCAAACTTGTCCTCCAATCGGGATTTTCCCCAAATCCCTCCAAGGGCCTCCACGATGGCCTTCACTCCCTCCAAGTTTCCAACACGCAGCTTCTTTGGGTCCAGTCTGGCAACTCTCTGAAAGGCTGATCCCTCACATTGCAATGCAACTCGTGGGGCAAGCAGGTGTAGTTGTTCTGGAGGCCATAGTGATGCCAGAAACTCTACTTTCCGTGGGCATTCAGTGAGGTCCGTCTCACCAGGCTTGAGATTGCTCAAACCTCCTGTGGCATTGGGCTGTTTCCTCCCTGGAAGCCGCAGCTCAACAACTCTGTGACAACACCACCAAGACAATGTGCAACCTGTCGACTGCCTTGCGGCCAAACAACGTATTCACCGACTCAACCACGCAGTCAACAACAGCCAAGCACAAGGGTCAGGTGTTGTCTGGAGCTTTAGCGGTAGCTCCGCTACCAATGTGATTGACACAAAGGTAGCAACAAAAGGTCCTCCTCCCCTCGCACAGCCGCGTGCGTTTTCCACTCACAGCTCACCTGAAGGTTGGTACGAACGGTCGGGCGCCTCGCCCTGCAGTGTCCTCACTGCTTCTATGGCTCAGGTCACGCCTACACCACCCTTGCGGCCTCGCACACTCGTGGCTTCGGACGTGAACACACCTGAGTGGGTCAAGACTGGTTCCTCAGTGACCGAAAGGTTCGAAATTCACAATAATTATATATATATATATCCACACCGGCTAGACCAGCAGCCTCCAGCAGGTTGGACCAGCAGGTCGGGCGGGGCGTGGTTAGACACCCGCAAATGTGAGTCCCACACTACAAATGTGGTTAGACACTCGTCCCTAGTCAGGTGCTGGTAGTTCATACAGGATATGTTCTTGGAACCACCCTATATACCTTTGCTCATAGTTGATTCACCACTCAGTCTTTGATCAAAACTGCCTTGAAACCAGCTGAACTTGGACCTCGTCCTTCTCTCCCCCTCACCTGCACACTGGTCCGGCCCATGACACTTCACTTCTGCCTGCTCAGCCTCACTCTTCTTCCCCCTGGCCACCGGCGAAGGGTCCTCAACTTCGTCGGCATCGCCGTTTACGTTTTGCTTGGGAAACTCGAGCAAATGATGGGATAGGCCGAAACAGCCCCGGAGCCATGAGATAAACAAATAAACGGGATGTTCACTATTTTGCAGCTGGTCCCAGGACTAGTCCCCACTCCAATAAGACAAAATATGACTAAGCACCTTACTATTTACATCTATTTGCTACCCTCAGGACAGTCAGGGCTCCCTGTTCCTGGAGGGCCAATGGCCCCCTAGAAACCAACACGGGTTCCGCTTCCATGTCCCTAATTGAACTGTAGCTTAATTACCCTCCCTCAAACAATCATGGAAGTGGAAAACCGATGACCCCCCCGCGTTGGTAGAGGAAAACCGTCTGACAAGGGGTCATGTTCCACTTCCATATTTGTTGGAGGGATGATTAAAATGGATTATATAAGTAGGTGGACCCACCCTTCAGCGCCGGCTCCAAGCGCCGCGTGTTCTTCAACTCCAAAGCTCCGGAAAGAGGTGCTGGACATATTCCTTCCAGGCTCGCTCGCTGGCCTCCGGTGCGGAACGGTCCATGCTGCGGAACGGTGTGTGGTAGCACAAAGACGGTCTGGCCAAAGGTTTGCTGGATGATTTGGATAAACGTGAATGAAGACGAACGAAGTGAAGAATACGCCAGAACCAAGTATGAGTGAGGCGTCGTCAGCACTGGAGGTTTTATTCCACTAGGTCAGGAAGACTCAGGAAGACCCTTCTCAAGTCTATCTTACCATTCATCAATGCACACGGGCTTTCTTCGCTCAGCTTCTCAGTCATCCCTACCCCACGAATACGAACGAGTGTGTCATGATCCATGTCTGGTCTCTAAACGCTTAGTGGAAAAGAGCAAGTCTACTGGAACGCTTGCTGCCATCTTCGACCAGTCTCTGGGGTGTCTCCAAGCTCTTCTGCACGGTCTCCAGCAGCACCAGTGGCCACACATCACCTGCGGCCGGGGATTCTGGCCTGGCCACTGTTCGGGAGCCCAATCGCGCTCACCGAGTCCTGAGAAAGAAGAGCTGAAGATGGGCTGCAGGAGAGACAGGCAAAGCCCCCCGGCTACTCCTGTGGCCCAAACCTGTGAGACGACTGCCTTGTGGCAGGGAGCAAGACCGCACACCGTGCACCGCTGTGTCACACATGAATCACACACATGATTCTTGATCGTCATTGGCAGGCAAGAGGCGCCTACTTTTGTTGGAGGGTTTTCGGATGATGTAGCTTGATAAATCACTTTGATTAATGTGTTTGTTAGCTCCTCTGCGATGGTGACCGGACCTCACTGAGGCGGAGCACAGAACACGAGCTGGCCCCTGTTGACCTAGATTGGGCCGCATCACTTTGGACACCAGGAGCATTTATATATAGTTTAAAAAAGCTTCACAGAAGTCCCAAATGGCAAAGCACACGAATGTATACGAATGTTGGAAAGCCTGACTAGATAAAGCCTGATGTCACATGAAAAGCACACAAATGGTTTCCCACTTCATGTCTCTTCATGTTTCCCACTTCTGTAACTATATAACTAGTTGTGAGTGGATGTGAAAGGGCTTAGCATCTTAGTGGTGGTGACCCGGTGACTCTGACTAACTAGTATGGCGGACTGGAAATTTGTGTATTCTGGATCTGGGTGTCAACCTGAGATGCACATCACCTTCTCATTCAAAATATTCAAAACATGGCAAACCAACATCCCATACTTTCCTTTCTTTTCTTACTTTCCCCCTCTGAACAGTCAACATCTCCACCTGTTGTGGACTCCCCACCCGACTCTCCACCCGATGTCCTTGCCCGCGGTGACGCAAATGGGCTTGGAATGATCCAACTGTTCTAGACTGCCTGGCAAACCGCTTGGACCAAGTCATCAAAGGATGACTTGGAAGTTGCATCAATGAAAACGCATCTGAACAGGACCTCATTTATATAGTTGGTTAGCCTTTTGAGCACTTGACTTGTCAGAGTCCAGTGATTTTGCGAATTCACGTTGAGGAATCTCAACTTACTGCCAAAACCAACTTTCAACAGGACATTCGAATTTGAGCATCCTTATGCCCTAGGCTCCAAGTACCTTTCGAGAAGGTGTTGGGCTGGGTTTGGAAGTTCCGTGGAGGTACTTGGAACGGGGATAGGATTGGTTTTGTATGGTTTCTTGTCCCCATCCATGTCCACCTCGGTTGTGCAAAAGCAGCTCCACCGCAGGAAACCCAGAAGAGATCGTGGAGCCTAATTACTGACTGCAAGGTTTAAAAGAGAGATGAGACTATCAACCAAACAGTTGATGACACAAACTTCAATTTCTTCAAGCTGTCGCCCTCTTCAGTGTACTTTCCCCCAAGGTTGGCAAAAGGTCCTTGATGCCCTTTGACAGCTGCGGTATAGACGTACTGTAGTAACTTCAAGGGGCTCTGCTCCAAGGTCTCTTCCGGCATCGTTGTTGGCACGGGGCGAAGACGCTCGGGCTTGTCTTGTTTCTCAGGCCCCGGGCCTTTGGGTGGCACACAGAAAAGGAGCTGACGAAGAAGGCCCCGCATGGCGTTCATGGAGGTCTTCTCCTGCGACTTCTGCGAAAGCGGATGAAGCTCTGCGACGATATCACTCCTGCACACGATGTCACTACTGAACACTCACTAGCTACAGCTTCCTAACACCTGAGGTGTGGCAACAGTTGCATCGAAAATCCTGCCTTCAAAGATGTCAGGACCAAGTGTGCGCCATGAACCAGGGCGAAATGCCGCAGCCTCAGCGCGCATTGCATTAATCAAGTTGGACCCTGACGGGAGATGCTGCATTGCCTAAGAATGGTCCATTCCAAAAATGACCACTGGAGTCAATTGAGCAACCACAGCAACATGGTCTGAGTCTAATTTGCATCTATGAACTTCTTGACGTGCTTCCCAAACAAATTCCGGGGCAAGGGACACTGTGACAACCTAGTCGGAAATGATTAAGTGTTGCATTTTGCAGCACTTGGTTCCAAATGTTGTTTTTTCAATGTCATTAATGAAACAAGGTTTGTCCCAGTGCCCCGGCTGATGGTATGCACTCCCCCTACCAGTCCAAACATGTCTCTCTCTCTCTCTCTCTCTCTGAATGGCCAAAGTGTCTGCACAGGCTGCTTCAATTGAGGCACCCACCATCTGTACCAAGCCGTCGGTTCAGCTGACCGACGTCTATTTGAGTAGAAGTCCAACTGCAAACTACATGACCATGACTTAGACTATTACAGCGAAGCTGAACAATATGAAACACCAAAAGGGGTCAGTGCCACTGCTCCACCAGGGCCATCAGCTTCATCCTGGGTCGTGGATGGGGAATTCCTCAGAAATTCAGCCCGAATCGAAGGGCATTGGTCCAAATGAGGCTCAACCTCTGGCACTTGCAGCTTTCGGTGGAATGATTTGCTCCAGTTTTCATGGGCCAAAAATGTGTAACCTTAAATGCATCAAGAATCTGCAAACTTGCAATGTCGACTGTCACAACCCCCCCGATTGGACACCATAACAATCCACAACACCTCCAATCACATGGGGCATTGAACATGACTGAACACTAATCACGAGTCTACATTGCACAAACCACTCTGTTCCAACGTCAGGCCTTTTCGGCCCCTGCTAGCGGCCCCAGGCCCCTCTCGGCTCCTTTGGATTTCCCGACCTGCTCGGCCCAAGCGGCGCGCGGCACAGGTTCTTCCGCTTCTCAGGGTCCACGTCGCTGGCGAGGACGTCCCACTTGGCACCTGGGAAGGAGCACAGCTGGCTGTCGGACAGCGGTGACGGTGTAGATCACTCGGTCACTCGGTCACTCCTATCGAAACGTGCTTGGAGATCCAAAAGGTTAAAATGGTGGAATAGAGTGGAGTCTGAGTGGGCCTCTTTGCATTTCTTTGGTGCCCTGGTCTGTCCATTCACCTGCGCACCGACCTCGCCACTGCAAGATCTGCGATGGGGCACTCTCCCCACTGCCCCGGTTCCCCGATGCGATCACCCCTGCCCGAGCGTTCTGCCCCTTTTTCTCCGCCATCTTCAAAGGCACAACAGCCTCACAGGCCTTGCAAGGCATCCCCGGTCGCCTCATTGTCAAACCGTTCAGGTCCATCTCTTATGCTGGGACCTTGTGGAGGGCGGAGGGCATCTGGGGTAGTTCTTTCCAGGTGTTCCTTTTTTGCATGTGTTTCCCTTTTTGCAGCCTCCTCACTGGCGGTAGGCACGGATGTCTTCACTCCTTGGAGAGCTGGGTGATGATGGTAGGCATGGGGACGGGTGTAGTGTAGTTGGAAGGAGTCTGCTATTCTGCTTGTGCTCACTGCAGAAGTGAATAGCATGCAAAGGATATGACATTACGATGCATTACGATGCATGACGCAGCGCATACAGTATCATACAGCATCCACATTGATCAAAACAAAGGCCACACTCCTTACATTGAGTATCAATGTGGATTACAAAGGCCACTCCTCACTCCTCACTGCTTAATTTATATATATATATATGTATATATATATATATTGATCCCGACCTGCGTCTTCAGACCGCGCCCAGTGCTGAGACCGCTCATTTTTAGAGACGAGTCGGCGACGAGCGCTCACTGTCCCAGCCAAAACTGCAGAGTCTACAATCGCTGCACTCAAATCCGGCTGTTGCATTGATAATCATGAAGCACTCTGTAGATGTTGCCAGGTAGCGGAAGTCCATGAAGACAATAGACAGGCTGCCAGGCTGGTGGAAACGACTCAGCTCAACGCCAAAACCACTCAGCTCATAGCTTTAACTGGCTTCATTGCTCACCACCCTTGTTCTTCACTTCGCTCCCGAGAGCTGGGAGGATCTTCATCACATCAGGTGTCACATCCTGCAGCTGCAAGGAGGCCCACAGGCAATCGGATAATTGTTGAAGACTCATTTCATCCACATTGCCTTGGATCTGCTCCACGAGGGCGACGACAGCATCAGGCTCTGCGGCGCCCTTAAAGTGTGCCAAGCCCCACAAACAGCTGGACAACTGCAGGGGAGTCATGTTGCTCGCAGTGGGCCGGATGTGTTTGGCAAGTGATTTGACAAATTCAAAACCATTATAAGTTCCAAAACCATGATCATGTTGAAATTTGATATGCAAGCGAGCTGATGCCCACAAGCTGTTGGAGACGTCATCGGCTGAAACAGCGAAGATTGACAGCTGGCTTTGCTCCAAACATCTCTCACCTTGGCTCGACAAGCTTCTCACGAGCTGTACACGCCTGGCATCCAGCGAGTCGCACCACTGGGCCAAAGACCACAAGCCCCTTGACACATGTTGAATCTCATTTGACTTATTGCAAGTCGTGGCTCAAGCTTGGCAAGAAGTTCATCGCGCCAATCAGCCCAAGAATCCCCAAAACCCTGCAAGTGAGCCAATGCCCACAAAAGGTCGATCTTGTGAGCATCAAAAAGATCAGAATCGACAAGATCAGAATCGTCAATAAAACAATCATTGCCCAAACAAAAAATATTGCCCAAGCCTCCTGCAAGCTCCCCCAATGCCCACAAACTGTTGGACAAATTCTGGGGGTTCATCTGAGAAGTGTTGTTCCGCATTACCTCGACCAGGTCTGGCACAATCTCGGTGACAGCCGGCACTTTTCGCTTCAAGTGCGCTGATGCCCACAAAAAGTTGGACAAGTGCTCCAACCTCGTCTCCTCAGCGTCTCCTGCATTCCCAACGGCCTGTAGTGCTCCACGTGGTGCTCCACGTGGTGCCCTGCTCGCCGCGGGGCCCACGAAGCTGGGACACACCGCTGCGCGGTAGAAGGCCCACAGGGCTACACATCCCACCATGAGTCGTCCGCGCGCGGACTCGGCGCGGATTGCAGCTCCTCTGCACGACATGGCGGCCTGATGGCGACCTGGGAGGGGGCGGTGGAGTCGTGGTAGGGCGGGTTTCGGTCAGTCGTGGCAACTTGGGCCTGGAACAACGAAAGCTGGGGAATCCAGCACCAAAGACATCCAAAGACCCACAATTTTCCGAGTCAGGAGAGAGTCTGCATCACATTGAACAACCTGGTTTGTTCCTTCTTCCAAGTCTCAGCTGCTGAGTGCCATCCGCCCCCTGTAGGCCCTTCTGCTCCAAATAGCTGGGACGGTGTAGTTCAACCCTCTCTTGGCAAAAGTCCCCGGCAAGCACGGGCGGCAACCTCGGCTGGGTGGCCAAAAGGGCAGTTGGGGGATCAGAATCGCAAGTTTGCGATGCCGATGACCTGGGTTATAGTGGAAAGGGAACCTTCTGAGAAATGCTGATGATGGGCGGTGATGGGTCCCTCTGGTTGGCATCTGTTTTTTGGTCCAATTTCTGGGTGCCTGCAGTGCTCCGGCCAGTTGTCTCATGTTTGGTGTCATAGATGGGGTAGAGTCCGGGTAGAAGTGATTAAATAAAGATATGATCGAGGAGATCTTTCAAGAAGAAGAAGAAGCAGCAGCAGCAGCAGCAGCAGCAGTGGTAGTGGTAGTAGAGGTGGTGGTAGTAGTGGTCGTCGTCGTCGTAGTAGTGGTAGTAGACTAGAGTATTCAGTGCAAATGTGTTGGATTGGCAAACTCCGTTTGGCAAGAAGTGTGTCGTCTCGGCCTGAGTACTAACTATCAACTATCTGCATGCTTTAAGTTGAAGCAACATGACAGCCAAGTCATTTGCTTAAAAAACAAATCGAACATGTGCGTATATATTAAATATACTGATAGGACGATGCCATGTCGCATGTCTTCATCCTGGCTTGAAGACTTGCGCCCAAGCTTTGTATATTTATTTGATATTACTTCCTACTCCATACGCATGGTGATGGACCATTTAGAATCTAGTATAGGACCATTCAAACAAGCATCAGCCCTCCCGGTTCGTGAGGCCACACCTCACTTTGCCCATTACGATCTGTTGAACTCCAAGAAGCCGATCTTCTGTCTTCCCGGCCGAGGGCCCAAGGGCTTCGAGCAGCACATCCTTGGTCTTTGAGTGACGAGGAATGGGCTGTTTCTGGGGCACCAGGTTCAAGTCCCAGCCGCGGGATTTGATGAGAAGTCCCCTTAGATTGAACAAACATGAACAAACAAGAAAAAGCACTCCGTTCACATCAGTTTAGCATGAACACTGCGAACAAAAGAAGTATCGTCATATTATACATATACTCTCTCTACCCATCGCCCTCTCCATGAGATTAGCCAGAGGCCAAGGCGAGCTACAGGCCGATATATTCCCTCAGAGTGGCAGTATCGTCCTGTTCTTTCGTTGTGCTCCAGGTGGACGTTCACTTCCCAACCATCAGCTTTGTGACCCAGGAACTTGCACAATCAAGTTGCAAATCTGTGACCCATCCTGTTGCATTTCACACGTTTCCTGACCCGTATGTTTCCTCTCAAACCGTTTTTTCAACACCGACCCTAAGGGTCCAGGACCATCCTGAGGATGTCCTTTGACCTCCCAAGACCATTCTCAGGAAGTACTTTCACCTCCAAGACCATCCTCAGGAGCTCCCTGGACCCTATGGGCGAGGAGCATCGTGTGGGCGCAGGGCGCCTGCCACAATGGAAAGGCGTTGCCCGGGCACGAGCCTGAGGCTGTCAGGCCACAGCGGAACAAACAGAACTGTACCATGAACGAGTTGAATTCACCGATGGATGTTTTCTACTGAGCTCAAAAATTGTGGTGTCAGTACTTGACGAGGATGGCGTTTGACCCATGAAAACTTAATTAAACAAAAACTGTGAGAAGGTAGTTGCTGCTTCAAAGAAAAAGATTCACCTAGGAGCCATGGTGGGTCCTGAACCTGGACGTGTGGAAAGAAATGTGTCCCACGTGTCAGGCCAAGGTTGCCGTGGAAAAAATAAACACACGTACCGTGGGTAATTGGCCATGGACGTCCCAAAGGACCTCATAGGATCTCAAGTTTCATCTGTTCTTCCAAATCACTTCCAAATCACTTTCACACTTTGCAGGCGCAGTTGACATCTCTTGTTGGCTGTGGCTCCAGGCAGCACCCGATGCACCGAAGCTTTCCAATATCCATTGGTCCAGCGGGAAAGCAGGGCGCCCACGTTCAGCACGAAGGAGTCTTGGGGCGGCAAGTGTGGCTGTTGGGCAGATTGATCAAAACCAAGTATGTCCCGAAAATACTGTAGATCAAACGGAGGTCAATACGCTTTTGGCCGGGGACTCACTTCTCGATCTACTTGGGAGTCACTATGCCCTCATGCTCCCATTCACCCATGAATAGGTGATGCGAACATATTCTCGTGCAAACTGACATGCACAAAGAAAGGCATATTGATTACTATTGTTTTTTTTTTTTAAGGCACTTCAACAGCCACCGCCCAGTACCACGGTTGAGGACTGGAAATGAAAAGGTTCACTCTGCAAGGGCAAGTTTGTCAGGTGGGGTGACCCACGCAGCTGGACCTGGAACCCAAAAGCTGGCCAATTAAACAAAATCCGTCAACATCCAAAGTGCATGTCAATGAATCACGGACCCCAATGACTTCTACCCATGTAGGTGCAGGAATACAACAGCTCAGAAGCATTCTCGTGGACGCTGTGCTAAGCCCGCAGCCTTCAACAAAAGGAACCTTGGCCGTTCGTTCCAAAGGAAGCTGAAAAGGACCACGGTGGTGTTGATTGGCGGGGCCATCCCATGGATTTTTTTGTACGTTTTTTTCCAACCCGCTGCTCGAGCATATCTAGCTTTGCACTTTTGGTGGTATCCTGCGCGGTTTCGATAAAGTAACAGGATATAAAC